TTACATTTCATTGTTATGCAGCTATCATCACTATTTTCAAAACATTTTTATCACCCCAAACAGAAACTGTACTTATTAAACAATAACTTTTTTTTTAGTTGACAGTGATATTATTTTCATAGAAAATGAAACATTCTATGAATAAATTATTTTTACATATAAGTTCTTTAGTTTATTTCTTCCCACCCCCCAAATGCCCTTCCCTTTGGGGTTCGTCAGTCTAACAACGAATTTGTACTTCTTAATCTCTTCACCTTTTTCATCCATTTCCCCAACGCCCCTCCCATCTGGCAACCAACACTATGTTCTCTGTATCTATGAGAATGTTTCTGTTCTGTCCATTTTGTTTGTAGATTCCATTGTTGATAAATATGTATTCACTGCCATTTTGTTTGTTCATATTTTTTATCTTTTTCTTCAAGAAGACTTTCCAACATTTCATATAATAATGGTTTGGTGGTGATGAACTCCTTTAGTTTTTCCTTGTCAGGGAAACACTTTATATGGCCATCGATTCTAAATGACAGCTTTGCAGGATAGAGTAATCTTGGTTGTAGGTTGTTGCTTTTCATCACTCTGAAGATTTCTTGCCACTCCCTTCTGGCCTGCAAAGTTTCTTTTGAGAAATCAGCTGACAGTCTAATGGGAACTCCCCTGTAGGTGACTAACTGCTTTTCTCTTGCTGCTTTTAAGATTTTCTCTTTGTCTTGAACCTTTTGCATTTTGATGATGATGTGTCTTGGTGTGGGCCTTTTGGGGTTCATCATGTTTGGGACTCTCTGTGCTTCCTGGACTTGTATATCTGTTTTGTTCCCCAAGTTAGGGAAGTTTTCTGCCATTATTATTTCAAATAGGTTTTTGATTTCTTGTTCTCTCTTCTCCTACTGGCACCCCCAAGATGCGAATGTTGGCATCAGGGGCTCCTTACACTATCCTCATGTTTTTGGATTCTTTTTTTTTTTGCTATTCTGATTGGGTGTTTTTTGCCTCCTCCTATTCCAAATCGATGGTTTGCTTCTTGGCTTTACCTACTCTACTATTGAATCTGTGTAAATTATTCTTTATTTCAGTTAGTGTCTCTTTCATTTCTGACTGGTCCTTTTTTATGCTCTTGAGGCCCTCACTAAGTTCACTGAGGTTCTCACTAAGTTCATTGAGCATCCTTATATGCAGTGTTTTGAACTCAGCATCTGTTAGGTTGCTTATCTCCATTTTCCTTAGTTATTTTCCTGGAGTTTTGTTCTGTTCTTTCATTTGGGACCTGTTTCTTTGTCACCTCATTTTGGCTGCTTCTCTGTGTTTCTGTGTATTACTCAAGGAGAGGTGTGAGGCTATCTGACACCAGATGCTGCTTGTTTGAAAGAATTTAGGAAAACCTGAAGCAGGATCTGAAACAGGCCAATCCTATGGTAAAGCAACTAGCAACAACTTGGGTGGGCCTGAAAGTTGGGTGGGGCGGGGCCTCAGGGAATCACCAGGGCGGGGCTACCAGTGTGAGCCAGGTTGCTGGAGTCCCAGATATGGCAGGTGTCTGCTGCCCCAGGGAAGGGCTCACCAAAGGAACAGTGGCCTCCCAGAGCACATCTGTCCAGGGGAAAGTGGCCTCTCCAGCTCTCACTCCAGTGCCAAACAACTCAGTTCTTCCCCATATGTCTCTGGTGCCTTTCAAGCTGCCTCCCCCAAGCTGGAGCCTGGAGGGAGGGAGTCCAAGTAAGTCCATGTGCGTGCCCTTTAAGAGTAGCCGCCTGGGACTCCAGATGCCTCAGCCTCAGTTCTCGCTGGTTTTTCCAGCCAGAATTTATGGGGATTCTCTTCCTGGCACTGTCACCCTGAGCTAGGCACCTGGTGTGGGGCGGGGACCCCTCAGTCCTCAGGGAGGACCTTCTCAGCCGAGGTCTCCTAATTTTTGTCCACCATACGTGGGTGTGGGACCAGCCCGTCGCGCCTCCGCCCCTCCTACCAGTCTCGATGCAGCTTCTTTAATTTCGTAGTTGTAGGACTTCCATTCAGCTAGATGTCAGGTGGTTCTGAATGATGGTTGTGCTGTAGTTTAGTTGTAACTTTGATGTGGTTGTGGGAGGACGCGATACCGCGTTTACCTACCCGCCATCTTGACCCGAAGTCTAAGCAATAACTTCATTCCCTTCTTCCCCATCTCTTGGCAACTGCCATTCTACTTTCTGTCTATGTGAATTTGCCTATTGTAGATATTTCATAAAAGTGGAATTACACAGTATTTGTTTTTTGTGTCTGAGTTATTTTACTTTGCAGGTTTTCTTTTTTTTTTTTTTGCGGCTGGGCACTTGGCGCCAGAAACGAGAGCCCCTCGGGGCTCACCTCCCCCCCCCATCTGGTCAGTGAAAAAACACTAAGAGTAGTGGTATTTCACTGGCGGCCCTTTACTTAGCATGTTTTCAAGGTTCATCCTTGTATCAGGACTTCATTTCTTTTAATGGCTGAATAATATGGCATTGTATGTATATATTGCATTTTGTTTATCCATTCATCAGTTGGTGGATATGTGGGTTGTTTCCACCTTTTGGTTATTATTATTAACTGTTTGAGTCCCTGTTTTCAAAATTTTAAGGTATAAAAATAAATGAAATTGTTGTGTTATTGATAATTACATGTTTAACTTTTTGAGGAACAAACTTTTCCCGAGAGGCTATACCATTTTATATTCTCACCAGCAATATAGAAGGGTTCTAATTTCTCCACATCATTTTCATTTTTAAAATTCATTGTGATAGATGTGAAGTGGTATCTCATTGTGGTTTTGATTTATATTCTTCTAATGACTAATAATAACAGCATTTTAAAAATCTACTTATTGGCTATTTTTGTATCTTTGGAGAAATGTGTATTCAAGTCCTTTAAGCATTTTAAAATTGGGCAGTTTTTTGTTATTGAGTTAGAGGGGTTCTTTATGTATTCTGGAGATTAAATTCTTATATACATGACTTGCAAATATTGTCTCTCATTCTGTGGGTTGTCTTTGCAGTCTTTTGGTTCATTTATGTTTTGTAGCATTTACAAATTTATATTTATAATTTTAAAAATATTTAGATTACTATCACCATTAGAATGTGAACACTATTAGGGTAAGGACTCTATCAGAGTTTGCTCACTTTTATATTTTATACCTGATGCCTAGCACAGGTGCTAAATATTTTTTAAATGAATGAATGAACTAAATTCCTCTAAGTTAATTTATGAATTGTTCCATTGATCTGTCTATTCTATCTTATATATCAGTAGTACTCCGTCTTGGCTTCTCACTTGTTACTGCTATGTTTAAAAATCTGCCCTGACCCTGGCCAGTTTGGCTCAGTGGTTAGGGCATCACCCACAGACCAATGAGTCACAGGTTCGATTCCACTCAAGGGCACATACCTCAGTTGTGGTTCATCCTTGGCCATGGTTGGGTCGTGCAGGAAGCAACCTATTGATGTGTCTCTCTCACATCAATGTTTCTCTCTCTCCCTCCCTCCCACTCTATCTGATGATAAATAGAAAAATATATCCTTGAGTGAGGATTAAAAAAAAATCTGTCCTGGCTGGTTCGGCTCAGCAGTTAGAGCCGTCAGCCCTCAGACCAAAGGGTCTCAGGTTCGGTCCTCATCAAAGGTATGTGCCTGGGTTGCAGGTTCGATCCCCAGTGCCAGTCAGGGTCACGTGGAAGACAACCAATTGATGTGTCTCTCTCACATTGATGTTTCTCTCTCTCCTTCCCTCCCTTCCAATCTTAAAAAATTGGTGGAAAAATATCCTCAGGTGAGAATTAAAAAAACAAACTTTCCAGCTATTTTCTGGCTGTTGTCATATTAATTAATGTTAACTCATGCCCCCCCTCCCCCCAAGAAAACAAAACCACATCCTTGGTATCATTTTATTTTGTTTTGTTTTTTTAAAGCCCTAACTGGGAATCAAACTTGCAGGTTTTCTGTATTTGGATTTTCGCTCCAACGAACTGAGCCACACTGGCCAGAGCAACCCTTGGTATCATTTTAGATAACTCATTTTTTTTCTTTCAGAGGGCATTCTTGGTAGGATAAAGGCTACAAAGTTGTCTTAACTTAGGCTATTATAGCAAAATACCATAGACTGGTGCCTTAAACAACATTTATTTCTCACCCTTCTGGAGTCTGGGAGCAGAAGTGGCAGCAGTTTATTGTTTGGTGAAGAACCCTCTCCCTGGTTTGTAGACAGATGCCTTCTTGCTGTATCTTCACTTGGAGAAGTGAGATTGTTTCTCTCTTGTCTCTTCTTTTTTTTTTTTTTATATCCTCATTCGAGGACATTTTTCCATTTTTTGTACAGACAGAGTGGGAGGGAGAGAGAGTAAGAGAGAGAGAGGGAAACATCGATGTGAAAGAGACACATCGAGTGGCTGCCACCCGCACGACCAACCAGGGCCGGGGACAAACTGCAACCGAGGTACATGCCCTTAGCGGGAACCGAACCCGGGTCTCTCCGGACCGCAGGCCGACGCTCTAACCGCTGAGCCAAACCGGCCAGGGCTCTTGTCTCTTCTTTAAGGGCTCTAATCCCATTCATGAGGGCTTCACTCTCATGACCTAATTACCCAAAGGTTCCACCTCCAAATACCATCACATTAGAGATTAAGGCTTCAACATGTGCATTTTTGTGGGGACACATTCAGTCCATAGCCGTACTGGAGCTAACAAAATTAAAGAATTAAGTAATTAAGCAGAATAGATCTCTAGCATCATCAGCTTCATAGGTGGGGGCAGTACAGAGCATCTGAAGACATTTATATTTATAGGAAATCCATCTGTTGGCAGAAGGGGTAGCCAGTCATTTGTATAGACTCATAATTCGTACTAAATTTAGTTAATACTAAATTCATAGATATAGGTCATTAATAAATATGAACTAAAAAGAACTGTTATGAGTTATACAATATATGAAATTTTCAAAGCTCAAGAGAAAAAATTGCTCTGAATGGTAGTCTTATAATATTTTTTTCTTCCTCCTAGATTTAAACAGTCAAGTTAAATCAAGCTGGGTAATCATGGCAGAAGGTGGATTCGATCCCTGTGAATGTGTTTGCTCTCATGAGCATGCGATGAGAAGGCTGATCAATCTGGTAAGATGAACGGGACAGCCCTATTCAGAACAGAACTGTACTGCTTCCGTACTGTTTTTGTGAAAATGTTGGTTATGGGAAGATTTTCATCTGATAGCCATGAAAATTATTTCATAATTGAAATTCCACAGTGGTTTAAGTTATAATGGTTAAAATGCTTGCCAGCAATTATTTTATTAGAGATAAAAACAAATTTTTGTCTTTATTTATATTAGATTTTTGTTGATACAATTCCCCATCGAGGGTGGGTAAAACACTGTGCATGTCATTAGCTATGTGGAGCTTATTTACCTGGTAAATTGCTATGAAGTCAATTTCTTTTATAATATGTTTTAAATCCTTCAAATGACATAAACTCTTTATAAAAGCATTTCAAAATCAAGATTAATTATTTAACAGAGGCAGATTTCTGAACAACAGACTTTGGATAGTAGTGAGATTTGAATTGTGGCATCTTTAAGACTTTCCTAATCTATAAGCTTAAATATGGGGCTATTTATACATTATATGTTATACTCTTTATGTATGAAAGGAGAAATTTGGCCATTACTGACAATAAAATATATTATTATTATGTTATACATTATAAGAACATTTTGTTGCTGTTTTAGAATACTCTTGAATAGGGTATATTATTATTGGGCAGTTAATAAAGGCAGGTACAAGCATTTACTCAAATGTAGTTAACAAGGTTTTCTGCTGATTCTGTGTCTATATATAGTGATCAGAAGTATGAGCAACAAAGCTGGGGACAGGGCGGGGTGGGGGAATCAGTGGGGGAAAAAGGAGAAACATCTGTAACAAAAATAAGTTAATTGCCCTGGCCAGTTTGGCTCAGCGGTTAGAGCATTGGCCTGTGGTCTGGAGAGACCCGGGTTCAGTTCCCGCTAAGGGCACGTATCTCGGTTGCAGTTTGTTCCCGGCCCTGGTTGGGTCGTGTGGGTGGCAACCACTCGATGTGTCCCTTTCACGTTGATGTCTCTCTCTCTCTTTCTCCCCCTTCTACTTTATCTGAGCAAAATATCAGAAAATGTCCTCAGGTGAGGATAAAAAAATAAAAACAAAATAGATACATTAATAAAATAAAATAAAATAAAATCAATAAAGAAAAAAAAAGAAACAAACAAAAAAGAAGTATATTTCCTATAAATGATACTTCTTTTAGAATCAGCATATACTAGGACTTATGATTCTTAGGAATGCCTTGGGGGGAAGCATTAAACTAAGAACTTATAAATTAAGTCAGACTCTTATGGGCATAGAAATATATTGGGAATGTCATATCTCTAATAACTTGATGTAAAAATAGATGAATCTGAGGGAAAAAAAATAGTTTTTCTTTATTGATTCCAGAGAGAGAGAAAGGGAGAGAGAGAGAGAGAAACATCAGTGAGAGAGAACGTCAACTGGCTGCCTCCTGCATGCCTCTGACTAGGGATCTGGCCCACAGCCTGGGCATGTGCCCTGACCAGGAATCGAACCGGTGACTTCTTGGTGCATGGGTCAAAGCTCAACCATTGAGCCACACTGGCTGTGCAGGAAAAAATATTTTAAAAAATATTTTCTCCTGTTAAGGAGCTGATATACTTCTTTTTCTCTTTTTAAAATTTTTATTTTATTATTTTTTTGTTGAAAGTATTACAGGTGTCCTCCATTTTTTTCCCCATTGACCGCCCGCTCCTTCCTGTTCCCACACCCCTTCTGCTTTTTCCAAACTGTTGTCTGTGTCCATTGGTTATGCACATATACACATAAGTTCTTTGGTTTATCTCTTCCCAACTCCCTCAACCCTCTTCCCTCTGAGGTTTGTCAGTCTGTTCCCTACTTCCATGTCTCTGGATCTGATTTGATCGATAGCTTATGTTGTTTATGATATTCTGTAAGTAATTGAGATCATGTGGTACTTGTCTTTCTCTGTCTGGCTTATTTCACTCAGCACAATACTTTACAGGTCCCTCCATGTTGTCTCAAAGGCTGAGAGATCTTTCTTGCAGCTGCATAGTATTCCATTGTATAAATGTACCACAGCTTTTTTATCCACTCCTCTACTGATGGACACTTGGTTTGTTTCCAGATCTTAGCTATTGAATAGTGCTGCTATGAACATAGGGGTACATATATTCTTTCTGATTAGTATTTCAGGCTTCTTAGGATATAGTCCTAGAAGTGGAATCACTGGGTCAAATGGCAATTCCATTTTTAATTTTTTGAGTAAACACTATGTTGTTTTTCATAGTGGCTACACCAGTCTGCATTCCCACCAGCAGTGTACTAGAATACCCTTTTCTCCACATCTTTGTCAGCATTTGTTGTTTGAAGATTTGTTGGTGACAGCCATTCTGGCAGGTGCGAGGTGATATCTCATAGTTGTGTTAACTTGCATCTCTTTGATTAGTGATGTTGAGCATTTTTTCATGTTTCTTGGTCATTTGTATGTCCTGTTTGGAGAAGTGTCTATTTAGGTCCTCTGCCCATTTTTAAATTGGATTGTCTTCCTTTTGTTGAGTTGTATGAATACTGTATGTATTTTTGGATATTAACCCCTTATCCAATGTATTATTGGCAAATTTGTTCTCCCAGAGAGTGGGTTCCCTTTTCATTTTGATGCTTGTTTCTTTTGCCATGCAGAAGCTTTTTAGTTTGCTGTAGTCCCATTTATTAATTTTTTCCTTTGTTTCTCTTGCCCTAGGCGATGTATCAGTGAAAATTCTGCTACTTGTGATGCCTGAGATTTTGTGCCTACGTTTTCTTCTAGGAATTTTATGGTTTCACAAGTGACATTTAAGTCTTTTGTCCATTTTGAGTTTTTGTGTATGGTGTATGTTGGTGGTCTAGTTTCATCTTTTTGCATGTACCTATCCAATTGTCCCAACACCATTTATTGAAGAGACTGTTAATCCATTGTATGCTGTAGCCTCCTTTGTTGAATATTAATTGCATATAATGTCTTTTGTTGATTTCCGAGTTCTCTGTTCTGTTTCATTGATCACTATGTCTGTTCTTGTGCCAGTACCAGGCTGTTTTGATTACGAAGGCTTTGTAGTATAACTTGATATTTGGTATTGTAATCCCTCCCACTTTGTTCGTTGTTTTCAAGATTGCTGTAGCTATTCAGGATCTTTTTTGATTCCATATACACTCTTGGAGTATTTGTTCTAGATCTGTGAAATATGCCATTGGTACTTTAATAGGGATTACATTGAATTTGTAGATTCTTTGGGTAGTATGGACATTTTAATGATGTTGATTCTCCCAATTCATGAACATAGTATATCCTTCCACTTTTTGATATCTTCCTCTATTTTGCCCTGGCCGGTTTGGCTCATCGGTTAGAGTGTCGGCCTGTGGATCAATGAGTCATGGGTTTGATTCCGGTCAAGGGCACATACCTCAGTTGCGGTTAGTCCTCTGCCCTGGTCGGGGTCATTTAGGAGGCAGCCATTCATTGTGTCCCTTTCACGTCGATGTTTCTCTCTTTCTCTTCTTCTCTCTCCATCTTACTTTATCTGAAGATAAATAGAAAAATATCCTTGGGTGAAGATTTAAAAAAATATGTATATATATATTACATATATATATATAGATATAATCTTCTTCATTTCTTTTTTCAATATCCTGTAATTTTCTGAAAACAGGTCTTTTACCTCCTTGATTAAGTTTATTCTTAGGTATCTTATTTTGTTGTTGTTGCAATGGTAAATGGGATTGTTTTTTTAGTTTCCCATTCTGAGTGTTCATAATTGGTGTATAAAAATACCATTGATTTCTGGGTGTTAATTTGGTATCCTTCTACTTTGCCGAATTAATTTATTAAATCTAATAGATTTTTGGTGGAGTCTTTAGTGTTTTCTGTGTACAATATCTTGTCATCTGTGAATAATGACAATTTCACTTCTTCCTTTCCAGTTTGGATGCCTTTTATTTTTTCTTCCTGTTTAATCGCTGTGGCTAAGACTTCCAGTATCAAGTTGAACAAGAGTGGTCAAAGTGAGCATCCCTGTCTTGTTCCTGTTCTTAAGGAAAATGCTTTTAGTTTTTGCCCATTAAGTATGATGTTGGGCCCTGGCCGGTTTGGCTCAGTGGTTAGAATGTTGGCCTATAGTCACAGAGACCCGGGTTTGGTTCCCGCTAAGGGCATCTATCACGGTTGCGGTTTGTCCCCAGCCCTGGTTGTGTTGTGTAGGTGCCAGCCATTCGATGTGTCCCTTTCACTTCGATGTCTCTCTCTCTCTCTCCCTCCTACTCTATCTGAACAAAAAATGGAGAAATGTCCTTGGGTGAGGATTTAAAAAAAAAAAAAAAAGTATGATGTTGGCTGTAGGTTTTTGATATATGACCTTTTTGTTTTTAATCCTCACCCGAGGATATTTCTACATTTATTTTCAGACAGAGTGGGTGGGAGATGTGAGAGAGACACATCGACTGGTTGCCATCCACACGATCCCAACCGGGGCCAGGGAAAAACTGCAACCAAGGCACATGCCCGTGGCTGGAATTGAATCTGGGACTCTTTGGTCCACAGGCTGATGCTCTAACCGCTGAGCAAAACTGGCCAAGGCTTTTTTTTTTTTTTTAATTGATTTTTAGGGAGAGAAAGATAAAAACATCAATGAAAGAGACACATTGATCAGCCACTTCCTACACGCCCCCCACTGGAGATTGAGCCTGCAACCCAGGCATGTGCCCTGACCAGGAATCTTGGGAGACTGTGTCATTCTAGGAATTTGTCCATTTTGCCTAGGTTGTTTAATTTGTTGGTGCATAATTGTTCATAGAATTTTCTAACAATCCTTTGTATTTTTGTGGTGTCAGATATTACTTCTCTTTCATTTCTGATTTTGTTTATTTGCGTCCTCTCTTTTTTTCTTGGTGAGTCTAGCTAAAGGTTCACCAATCTTGTTTATGTTTTCAAAGAACCAGCTCTGTGGTTTTATTGATCTTTTGAATTGTTTTTTTGTTTTTGTTTTTGTTTTTAAGTCTCCGTGTCATGTATTTCTGCT